ATGCTTTCTGATTCTACTGCACACCCAGCCCACTCTGACTGAGACTGAGGGATCTTTAGAAGGGAGATCGATAGTCGCTGTTCGTGTATTGTCTCTTGCGGAACACCAAAACTTGACGTTGATGTCGCTTACGTTTATTGCTGGAAATTGGTCAACAATCGCTGCTCACACCTCTTCGTTGGACGTTACCTCGTCCAGATCCCTGCATTCTATTAGAGTGTGTTGTGTTAAGGACTTTACACTAGTATAATCCTGAAGTGTGTTCTTTCACTTATTTTAGTACATAAGTCGTTAGCTAAAGTCCCAGCTTCTTTTTTTGAATTTTGAAATTTGTTTTTAAATTTAGGAGTTTGGCTTTAAATTTTACAAAATTGTACTATTTGTACTTCTTATCTCTCTAATCCTGTAGAGAGTTTAATGTTATAATTAGTAACTATTGTTAGTGTGCATACATAAGTGCGGTTTAAAGATCTCATCTATAATTTGTTGCCTATATTTTTTCGCTTGGTTAAGATACGCGCATAAATTCAGCCAGTTCACTCCATTAAGGACACGTTTTCTGTTTCCTGTTTATTACATAGGCTACAAACAGATAGTGCACAACTTACGTAAGGTACATAATTGAGTTTGATGAGTTCAGTACGAGATTTGAAAATTGTACGAATATTTTCCACAGTATATTTATCATTAAAATAATTCATTTTCCCTAGATTGTACGTTAGTTCTCTGTATGTTTGTCTAGAGTACCTTGTATTGGTCTTATAAACAAATCGGTTTCTATCACTTTGATCCTGTTTTAGGAGAATGCGCTGCTGCCAGTTAATCCAACCATTTATGTCCTCTAAATTCAAAATTTCTTCATGTTCCTCGGCTAAATTTAACGAAGCCTCAAAATATGAACTCCTTCCACCTAAAAAGTATGTCGCAAACCATTTGGTGAGTCAGCTATCTGGGTGGTTCATAACAGCGTTAATATATTGAATGTGGGATTTTAAAGTGTCGATATGTTGTGTTGATAAGCCAGTTTCCAGGTAGATTGCATAGTCTGGTGTCTTGACCGGTAGACGAAAGATACGTTTGATAAAATAAGTCAGCAGTTTTTCCACTTCATTATACTTTTCAAAACCCCAAACTTGGGAAGCACAATTCATAATTGAGTTGACAACAGCTGGGAAAACTTTGTATTTAACTGAAAGAGCTACCGTATCATTTCTTAAAGCTCTTCTCCATGTGCTGTTTATTGCTAGTTTTGATTCTTTTAATACTTAAATACTTATCTTTTAAATACTTATATGTTAAGTAATACTTATATTGGAAGTAGTTATTCCAATAGTTCACCGTTAAAATACAACTTTTCATCGCATGTAAGTCGCCTTGCATATTTTTTAATTATTATTATTTTTGACTTTGCTATATTGGCTTCTAAATTTCAGATATTACAGTACTCGTTCAATCTATTTATCATTAGCTGCATGTGTCTTGGTGACTCTACGAACAGCACCACATCATCTGCATACATCAGAACCTTTATTTGCATGGTATCAATCACAATGCCACCGTTTAAAAAGTTAAGCAGGTCATTTAAAAATAAAGTAAATAAAAGTGGACTTAAAACACAGCCTTGCTTAACACCAGACTGTGTAAGAAACCAATAATATTTCCATCCCATACTGTTGCTTTACTACCGTGATAAAAGCTCCAGATAATCTGCAACATTTTTGTTGACAATCCTAAGTTCCCAAGCTTATAGAAGAACGCATTTCTTAGTATTGAATCGAACGCCGCCTTGAAATCCACGAAAAAGACATAGAGTTTTTTGTTTTTGTCAATATACATTTTTGCAATATTAGTTAAAATAAAAATGTTATCTATAGTTGAATTATTTTCCCTGAAACCTGACTGAAATTCACTTAACAGTGCACGGTTATTAACGCATTCTTGTAGGCGCGTTCTTGTCACATTGAATTTTCGAACTTTACTCCAAAAGGATTTACTGTCTTTTGTTGTTGCTATTGTGATAGCTAGCTCATTATAGTGAGTCCCTCTTTTATGTTGGAGAAGTTCTTTAAATCGTTTATTTGCTTGACTGTAGTTTCTCATGTCTTCCTTTTATCCTGTTTTTTTAACTTAGCAATCGAAAAGATGTATCTCTTAATATTTTACATTCAGAATCAAACCATTGGTTTTGTTTTACGCCAGTTTTTTGCTTTTGCTGCAGAGGCTTTGCTGCATTATTTGTACAATTCATGAAGAACTCAATTCCGTTTGTTGAGCATATTGTCGCTCTATTTCCTCCAATAACTTGTTGATTAAGTGTTAAATTATATATTTTCTCTATACGTTTGCTCGAGTATAGTTTCGGTAACATCTGTAGACCTGAATTTTCCTCTGAAATAATTTTCCCGGCTTGGACACTTACTGTTATCGGCTGATGGTCTGAGTAAATAAAATCCTGCACTTTGAAGTTTTTGATTCTATTCAACCGGATCCCCGTTCCTAAACCATAGTCAATCATGGTAGCGATAGTTCCTCTGTGAAATATATGCTTGCCTTCTTTGTCGCCCTCGCATCTTCCATTTAGCACAGTAAGACTTACCGTATTGCAGATTTCTAGTAGTCTTCTGCCATTTCTATCTACTTTGTCATCCATAGCTCTGCGCTGTGCGCTTAGTCCATTAGCTTGAAAAGTTTGGTTAAATTCCAAACATTGCTCCTTTCCAATTCTGGCATTACAGTCTTCTACTAAAACATTTTCGCACCCTAATTCGAACCGTACATCACTTAAGTTTTTAAAATCCGCATCCCATTTGTTACAATTAATATATGTTGGAATAATGTATGCAAGTGTCTCTTCAAAATTTTAGCTTAACTACCATCATATTCAATATCTGTATAAATCGTGTATTCTTATTAGCTGCTAAGTTCTTCTTTATTCCATATAACATACCGCCACTAGCTCTTCCTTTAATTGCGACCCGAGTTGCTGGAATCCACCATAATAAGTACTTTTCAAACACTTTATCAATCTTCCCCAAGGATTTTTCCATGAACGTTTCAAACAAAAAAAAACAGATGAAATGAGTTCACATAATTTATAAAATCGCAGTAATTAACTTTCTTTATTAGACCTGCTACGTGCTAAAATATTTAAAATTTCTTTTGAATTTGAATCTAAACTTAAGCTACAGCTGACTATATTGTCTTTATTTAGTTTTTTATTGACTCCAGGTTATTTCCATAAAGTGCCTGCAGTACAACCCTTCCATTTCTGTCACCACACTTCAGCTCCTTTTCTTTATTCCAGTACAGCCATTTGTTATCAATTTTCGTACGATCCTCTCTAACTATTATATCACGTTTTTGGTCTACTGCACTCAAATTTTGTTTTAGTTTCAACGTGACCCGTTTATGTGCTTGTTTCTCTGCGCTTAAGTCCCTCTCAATTGAAGTTTCAGGATTAGCAAGTTTTTGCTATTGTTGAAAATGTTAAATACACACTGCTCTGCTTGGAACTCCTATTTTGTCGTGTTTCTCGAATATTTTTCTTACAGAAGCTATTTGCACATCATTGACGTGCAGAACTTCAGCACAGAATTTCCGAATCGCCAATGTTGGATTGTCGGTTATTTTCAAACCCTTTATAACAAGCGATTTTCGTTTTCGTGCATTTATAATATGATTTATATTACGTGCATCCCGTTCGTGCTGTTGTTCGAGCTGCGTCACCTTCTGCTTTATCACAGGATTCTCTGCCGTCAGCTCCGTAATCCTACTAGAGAGTTCGCCCACTTCCGACACAATCACTTCCAAATCAGCTTTTGTTGGCAAGTTGTTTAGCTTTTCGCTCTCATTAACCCCATCAGCTCTGTTATATTCATATTCCCTAATTGCATTGTTGATTTAACCTGATTTGTTTCTTGGTTTGTTATACATATGTATCAGTTTAATACTTTTTAAAATTTGTTACCACAGGCTCAAACTACTCTGAGCTTTCTACTGAGCTTTTTACTACGTATAATTAGCCTTACGTTCCACTTATCGCCAGCACTTTTAATTACAAATGGTAATTATTGTTTTTGAATGCGACGCTATCTTGCCTGCAAAAGTCTCAATTGTATAAAATTGTACTAACCTTCACTTTTAACAGCTCACTTGAATGCGTTGCAATGTCTTGAATGTTTATTTATTATTGTCACCCAATTGTAACCAATTTTTCGCAATATGATTCAATTTTATAAGTAAACTATTCCGAGAGCGCACTTATTTGATTTATTCCACTAGGGTTGCCAAGGCAAATATTTATATACTTATCGATGATTTTTAAAAATTTTATATATAATATGCATTTTTGTTGTTTTTAATTTTTTTTTATATAATAAATTTTTCAATATTTATTTAGAAATAACAACCCAGGTTTCCATAATAACATTTTAAGCTGATTGCTCTCCAATATATTAAAAAATGTAACAATTGACAAAATGAAAACAAAAAACGATAATATAAACGCTAAGTCAATTTTTACAAAGTTCGTGGACTACAGTTCGTAATGAAAACCACGCATAAGTGTAATATTAATCTGCAATTACCATCAACACAAACTGATCGCTTTTAAATATCTACCAGATACTTGGCACTTTTATTAAGATGAAAATATTATTAATATTTCTATTAAGAAAAAATATTTTCCATTTTCGTAAAAACTCACGAGGTTGTCGGCTTTGAATGGCTATCAAACAGCAACTGAACGACGTAGCTTGCTCAAAATTAAAAAGTTACCCACTAGTAGATTACAGCTGACGACAGCACTGTTGCATTTGGAGTAACTGCGCGGGAAACTCAAAAAATCACTGATTCATCAAACCGCCCTCGTACAACAAAAACATTACACAGATTACACATTATACAAAACATTGTAACAAAATGTGTAGGATATATATATTTAAGTGATATATACTATTTAAGTGTCTAAAATTATATAGTTTGTTTACTTTTTTACATACCTGAGTGTCTGATATTTGTCGAGTAGAAAACCGTTTTAAGAAAGAATCCTCTCGTTTTAAAGGTGGCTTCTTTTGTATTGCTGATGAGATTTGAACAGTTGTACGAAGTTTCATCCATCGCTGATTTGACCTTGTCCTGTTTAACGAGATTTATCATTATAGAAGTTAATCATTAAAAAGCTAAAAACGTAATAATTTACACACTGATTTAATTAAGCAATTAATTATGTAAGTAAATAAAATTATTTGTACACAATACACAATTTGTAACGCAACGAAGTTTAAGAATACATGTATAAAAACGTCGCACAGGGTGCCAAAACAGAAATTAGCCGATCAAAGTTCAATATTTTTTGAACCAGTACCAGTGTTTTCAATAAGAGCTTTTCGGCTGGATTTAGAAGACATAATGAATTAATTAGGCTTTCGATGCTTTTAAGACCTCGTTAAAAAATCAGGGCATTTGTGGGCATAAATAAATATTGATTTTATATATGTTATGAATTAATATAACTTAATTATATCGTATTATACATAATTAGGTATTATTATATGATTTCATGGACTATTAGCAGTATGTTCAAAGATATATACTATACTTAGATATTATCTCTATTTAATATTCATAGCCGATCTAACTTCTGCGCTGGATGTTTGTACTGGTACCATTGCAGATGACACAGCTCTTCTGAGTATTGGTTCAGACGTTGATGATTCAACTAACACACTTCAGGCTACGATTTCTGAAGTCAGTAAATGGTGTAAGAAATGGCAAACAAAACTTAATAGTACTAAATCTGTTCACATTAACTTCACAAATCGGATAATTCAAAATAAGCCTGTTTATTTGAATGGTTGTGTAATCCCATGCAAAAATACTGCTAAATATCTTGGCATGACGCTAGATGTGAAATTGCGTTGGATAGAACATGTCAAAATAAAAAGAGAAGAGCTTGATATTAAATGGAAGAAACTGTATTGGCTTATGGGAAAGAAATCCCAACTCTCACTAGAAAACAAACTTTTATTATATAAACAGGTCCTTAAACCCGTTTGGAGACTAACCGTATGGTTATTCAACGTTTTCAAAATAAGGTATATATATACGTATATACGTAACTCTGATGTTCATCGGGACCGCGATATTGAATATGTAGCGGACGTCATCACTAAGTTTGCAAATTCTCATGCCTACAGACTTAGGCATCACGTAAATGCAGAGGCTATGTGTCTCTTTTATCCTATGCAATCAGATAGAAGATTAAAAAGAACTCTACCCAACGATCTTGTTGGTAATTCGCTTAAGCATCTTTACTTTAAATTCAATTTTATATTTGATAAACTAAAATTGCTTGTTAGTTTCATTGTAATAAACTAGTTGCAGTATTATATTAATAAAAACAAAAAAAAAAAAAACAAAAAAAACTTAAATATTTAAAAAATCACAATTTGACATTTTTATTTTTATTTACAGAAGAGAAAAATTGCGCATTCCAATTAATATGTGTATTAAGTAATTTACTAAACTAAACTTACCAGTCGGAATCTAGGTCTGAGGCTCCGTCTCCAATTCGAATTTTCCTATAATATAAAAACTTGTTTTTAAAAATGTAAGAAGCAGTAATACAATAATAATAATAATAATATGTGTGGTACTTCTGTATTACCACTTCATTATCAATTTTTTTTTTTTGTTTATATTATTTTATTTTTAATTGTATCTTTCTGATTAGAAATAGACAATTATGTAATCATATCTTTAAAACTAAACATAATGCAATTAGCAGGTGCAAAAAACGAATTTAAACTTTATGATAAAATGAAATAGATTATTATTATCAAAATTTATAGCAACATTTTTAGTAAAATTACGTTAAGGTGGTATGAAGCTTTTTCGCTTAAGTCTAGATATTGTGGTATCAGAAATCAGCTGTTGCGCCATTGAATTACTATGCTGGTGAAGTTTCACTTTATATTTTTGGCCGCATGTTCTTATGACGTCTGCAACAGTTGAGATTCCAAGATCGTTGTGGATATGTACATTTTTGAGATACCAAGGAGCATCGGTTATTTCTTTAAGTAATTTGTTTTGAACTCTCTGTATTTTTTCGATATTAGAAGCACATGCTGTACTCCAAAGTTCTATACCATACTACCAGATAGGTTTTAAGATTCAATTGTATACCAGGACTTTATTTTTCAGAGTTAGCTTAGAGTTTTTATTAGTAAGCCAATAGAGCTGTTGTGATTACAATTTAATTTGAGATTTTTTGCTTTTAATGTGTTTAGTCCAAGTCAGCCTTCTATCAAGATGAATGCCAAAATATTTTACATCATGTGACTGGGGTATAAAGATGTTATTCAACTTAACGTGAGTAAACGTGACATGCACACTTTTTGTTTCGTTTACTTTTATGCGCCATTTTGCTAGCCACTTCTCCAATAGACTTACGTGAGTCGAGAGTCTTTGGGACGCCGTTATATGGTCTCTGTTAGAACTAAGAATTGCAGTGTCATCCGCGAAAGTAGCAAGTATGTGATTTGATAGTAGTGGGGAGATCAGCTGTGTGGATTATATACAGAAACGGCCCCAATACGCTTCCTTGAGGAACACCAGCCATTATGTCGATTTCTCTTGAAATAAAGGTATTGTATTTGAATCTAAATTTTCTAGAAGATATATATGAAAACAATAGCTTATGCATATTTTCAGGAAGATAATGTCTTATTTTATATATAAGACCTTCGTGCCACACTTTATCAAAAGCTTGGGCTACGTCCAAGAAAACGGCGGAACAGTATTGTTTGTGCTGAAAAGCAGTATGTATTTCTTTAGCAATTCTGTGAACTTGCTCAATAGTGCCATGTCCTGTTCGAAATCCAAATTGATGGTTTGGGATCACATTGTTTTGAGTTATTATTGGCATAATATATGACAGGAGCATTTTCTCAAAGACTTTGGATAACTGGGGCAAACGACTAATTGGTCTATATGATGATGCCAAAATTAGGTCCTTTCCTGCTTTTGGAATCATTTTTATTTCTGAAACTTTTCATTGCTTCGGGTAGTAGCCAAAAGCGAGGATGCTGTTAAATATCACAGTTAGAAAAGTTATTGTTGAATCAGGCAGTTGTTGAATCATTTTACCCGTAATTTTATTGTATCCAGGTGCCTTTTTGGGATTTGCAAATGTTCGGATAGTTTCCTTGACGTTATCCAAACACAACGTACGGGGAGTTTCAACAATAGAAGGAGCTTCGAAGTTAGGTTGAAAATCTGATAATTGTGGGTTTGGCTGAAAGACGACCTTTAGGTGTTCTGCTAAAATACAACCTTTTTCTTCGTCATTGTGAGCCCAAGAACCATCCGGTTTTCTAAGCGGTCGCTTTGTATTGGAGTTTTAAATTTCTTCGTTGCCTTCCACAGAGAATAGTTGTTTTCTTTAAGTGGACCAAGAGACTCGAGATATTCTTGTAAAGAGCGGGTTTAGTCATCAGATAGGGCTTTTTTAAGGTCTTTTGAAGCTTTACTTAATCTTTGTTTTGAGGTGCGTGATCGAAGTCTTTGCCATTCTCGCCTGGTTTGTCGTTTTCGGGAAAAAAGATAATCAATGTGTGATTGAAATACTATATTTGACTGAACTGACCTTTTTGGTTTAGAGGCTTTAATTACAGCATTATTTAATGTCTTGGTGAAGTGATCAACTGCTTTATCAATATCTTTGGGTGATCTAAAATTTGAGTTATAACTTATTTCCTCATTAATAATATTTCTATAATTCCTCCAGTTTATAAGAGTTTTCTTATTCTCCTCATTTGAATTAGTATTAGATTTTGTCAGAGTTAAAATAACCGGAGAATGGTTAGAGGACAAGTCATAAGATGATTTAACGGCAATATCTTCACGTTTCATGATTAATGACTGCGAAATCGATTAAGTCTGGTGTTTTTCGATTGTCTGATGGCCAGTATGTTGGGTGATCTGAAGACACAAAATCAAGGCTGTTGCCAAGTGCTACATACAGTTGACGACCTCTTGAAGATACCAGTCTAGAACCCCAAAAGGCGTGTTTAGCATTGAAATCCCCAGCAACTAGAAAGTTAGGACCGAGATCAGTAAAAAATTTCCGGAACTGGTCAGAAGTAATAGCAAATTTGGGTGGGCAATAGATTGCTGAGACGACGGTTTTAGTTAGACCAGAAATTACACAAATTGATGTAGCCTGAAGGTATTTAAAACAATGCTTTTGGATTTCATAATGTTGAATTGTGTTTCTAACAAGTACTTCAGAACCGCCACATACTTTACCGTCTGGATGTTTAGTGTCATAAAACTTATATCCATAAACTCGAAAACAGTTTTTGAAGGTTAAATGTGTTTCGAATATAAGCAGTATATGGATATTGTTACTCACCAGAAATCTAGTTATTTCCAGTATATGTTGGCTTAAGCCGTTTGCATTCCAATGGCATATTGTGATTGCATTCATTTGGGTTTTACCAACTCAGCAATCAAACTTTGGTTTTGTATCATGCTTTGCATCAAGGTATTCATCATATTTTGCATGAAGTCCATGAAGTGTTCAATTTTTTGGGTAAAACTTGCGAGCATTGCTTCAAAGCCTGGAACAACAGTGGAGCTATTGGTAAGAAGTGGGATTTGTTTGGTGGCATTTGCGTACGTCATTTGCTGTATTGGTGGAGCCGGTGGTTGCAATCCGGGACCAGTATTCTGTAGAAGGGGCGGAAAATGAAGTGTGAAATTTGGCAGATTAAGCTGTGGGGTGCGCTGTCTTTGGGCAACGTTTAATTTTTGTCTTAGAGCAGCGAAAACTGGACATCCTCTATAGTTTGCTGTGTGGCTATCACTGCAGTTTGAACATTTTCTAACAGCTGGGTTTTCTTTGATTTCAGGACATTTATCTGAGCTATGGATGTTGGCACAAATAACACAAACCTTGGCAAGTTTACAGTATGACTTAGTGTGTCTATATTCCTGACAGTTGAAGCACTGCACTGGAAAACTACGTTTGCGTGGCTCCTCAATAGTATTTTTCTCGATTAAAAATATTCATAGCGACATGTCATCAATTCAGCTCGCAAAAATTAAAGAAATGGAGCTTCTATGCCTCCAACTCAGAAAAGAAATTGAATTTCTCAAAGCAGAAAATGCCTCCCTTCGAAGTGCAAGTGCAATATTCCCAGACAGAAAAGATGGTGAACAAATTGAAACACTCACTTATGAGACTGATGAGGAGGAACTTGCTAAAGAAACAGATTGGATTTTGAAAAAAAAGCCAAGCAAAAAGCGTAAAGCCGTAGAATCTCCAGAGCGCAACACATCCCCATTGAATTCCTCTAATGTGGCAACTATAGCGAGCAGTAAAAATACCCAAGTGGAGCTGAAAATAGCTCGTCCACCACCAATTATGGTCTCTGAAGATTATAAATACTCAGAACTGCAAGCTGTTGTAAAAAGTAACTGCAAGAAAGATTTTTTTATTAAGCTCCTCAATAGCGGTACTTATAAAATCAGTACATTTGAAATAGGCGACTACAGAGCTATTACAAAAGTGCTGTCTTCAAAAAAAGCTGCCTGGTATTCGTATGAAAACAAGCATCTCCGACCATTAAAGGTTATTGCAAAAAATCTTCCTCATTCATGTGACCCAGTCGATATCGTATTCGATCTGAAACAGCAAGGTTTTAAAATCGTGAACGCGGTCAACAAATGGAAATCACATTCAAAGATTCCACTTAATATGTTCATGCTTACATTTGAGGCGACAGAGGATATAAAAAAAATATATAACATTAAAGCTATTTTAAACTGTGTTGTTAAAATTGAACCAATAAAGCACTCAAAGCAAATACCACAGTGTAAAATATGCCAAGCGTATGGTCACACACAAAATTATTGCGGCAAATCAGCCCGGTGTGTTAAATGTGCTGGCAGTCACAGTACTGCAGAATGCAACAAACCTGATCAGCACCAACCAAAATGTTGCAACTGCGGTGAGGGACACCCGGCCAATTACAGAGGTTGTATAGTAGCCAAAGAACTTCAAAAATTGAGAAACAAAAAAATTGGTGAACAAAACAAAGGTAAACAGCGTAATCATATATCGGCTGAAAATCAACCTGAAAATAATCAAACTGATGTTCTAAATAAAAACCCAAAATCGCTGAATAATAAAAAAACATATTCGGATGTAGTTCAATCCAACACTGAGGACGATGGTAATTACAAAATATTAACACAAATACTGGAAAAAATCACTACTCAAGAAAACTTTTATAAAGCATTGGACAAACGCTTGACTAGGCTAGAGCAAAAACTCAACAAAACAAATAATGCTTAGTTATATAAAAATAATGCTATGGAACTCGAACGGTCTTCTTCAACACCTTAGAGAGCTTGAAACAGTCCTATCAGTCAAAGATGTTGATGTTTGCTTAATTAGCGAAACTCATTTTACTAACCAAACATATGTTAAACTAAAGAATTACGAAGTATATAGCGCAGTTCATCCTAGTAATTGCGCTCGCGGAGGAAGTGCTATTTTAATTAAAAAATCATTAAAACATTACGAGTCTACAAAAATATCCAAAGAGGAATTCCAGGCAATAACTGTTGTCCTTGACTTACAAAGCAAATTACTACTAACATCGGTA